CTACAACAACAACAACAACAACGATAGCAACATAAAAAATAAAATTTGCTGGCATTGTCCAACAGTTTGTCGGAGGTAAAATGAAAAAAAGAACATATATAGTAAAACACAAGGCACTACCAAGAGGTAAAAATTTAATTGATGTCAACTCGTAAAAAATGCGATAACATTGCCATTGCTACCATTATTTAATTATTATCAAATGTCCTTTGTTAAGCCAAGTCAAGCGCATGCTATGATACCCTCCTATAGGGTATGCTCGGCTTGAAATTCATTTAAAAATCAATAGAGCGGAAATTGTTTCAAGTGTGCAATTCAGTAAATCGGAGATCAGCATATTTAATGTATACTTCAAGAGAAAACAAAGTACAAGTTTGATGGAAAAGAACACGGACAAATAAAAAGCTAACCACGACATTTTTAAGGTTTCTTTATATGAATTTATATAATACTATTTGTCGATAGATTGTTTTACTTCACTCTTTCGGAAGTACTGCTCAGACCATTTCTCTGGATCTTTGCTTATAGTTAACTATGTTGCCTTAAGTGCAACTATTAAAACTATACATACTAAAATATCGAACCATTGGACATAAAAATAATAGTTTGAATGCCATATCCCTGAATAAGTTACTTGTATATATTGTGAATAGTATGCTGCACAATTTATATTAAATCTTAAATATAAATATATATGCAAAATTCTGGACTTAACCATATCCGTTAAAGCGCTGGTCTTAACTAGAACACTAGTCCTTTCACATACATTCAAATTTATATAATATTTAATATAATAATAATATTTAATAAAAACAATGATAATTTCTGCTATTCCCAAGTTAGCTTTAAACTTGTTGTCACATTGAATAAATGAATCGTTAAAAACGTACATCATAAGATTAACCTCCATAGCTTTAAGTTAAGGTATTTCATGGAAGCATACTTCCTTTGTTTCCAATTGCCTTAGCTGCATTGTCACATCGTTTGTCGTTTGTCTTTTACCACACACACACATACACACACACACACACACACACACATCCTCGCACACTTGCAACCCCTCACCGAGTGCCAAACTAATTGTTTCAAATTAGCGCCTTTATGCTCAGGCAGGCTGTCTGTCTGTTGGTCATGGCCAACTGGCCATTGGCTGACCATTGACTTGGTCTTGGACGAACAGTCGAGCCACGGTCCGTCGCGGCGTCTTTGTTGCGTGTGTAGCCCAATTATATCATGGCCCCTCATAAGGACCAATATGGCAACTAAACTTGACGGAATGGCGCGGAAATTTGTTGTCAGGACATTTGAATTTGAATGCCAATTGTCGGAATCGCCTTTGCGTGCAAGCGAATGTTCATAAATTTTGTTGTAACGTTGACAAAGATATTTTATTTTTGATTAACATTTCATTTTAAATGCTAGGCGTTATAACGAAAAAATAAAAATAAAAATCAAGTAAGCAAAACAATATAATAAATATATTTAATAATGTGTGATGTAAATATAATAAAATAAATTCTGCAAAGCAATTTATCTACCTCCGCTTTAAATGTAATTTTCTTATGCTTGTATCTCATAAGCAAATTAAGAAATTTAAAGCTTAAGCCAATAATGGCTTTAATAATTTTTGAAATTGTTGTTTCCCTTCTAATTCTTACAAAGTTTGGATAGTTAAATTGTCGTTAAGTTCAGCTGTAGCACACTTAAAAGTTTATTTGTGCTAATTCGATAAATCAAAAGTTTTGCCAATAAGCAAAACGTAAATTTGTTACAAATTTGCTGTTGCCTCAAGTGAGACGCGATCGAGAAGCGATACCCCCAATACCCTGAGGGACCTGGCGTTGCCCTGTGGCAACGACTATTTATGCCACTTAAATTTAACATCTCGCCGAATGTCCGACGAAGCGTTGTAAATCGTTTATTTGAATTATATTAATTTTCCCGTTTTTGAACTTGAAAAAGAAACTGAAAAATGTGAAGTAAAAAATTGTTTAGATGAATTTCATGCGCTTGTTTGCATTTTGTGATTTGTTGTTGTTTTTCTCCAGCTGGACAACAGGAGACGACAATTTTGTGTCGCTGGGTTGTCAGGACAACAACAGGAAAATATAAAACAACTCACTGAAAAATGAGGCAAAAAAAAAAAAAACAACTCGGCGCGTAATAATAAATGAGAAGTGGAAAAGTTTTGCCGCCAACGTGCTTATTGTCAAGCTCGGCCAGGCCATAAAAAACAAACTTCAATAGCAATAAGGCGACAAAAAATGGTAGAAAACAACAAGAACGGTGCAACAACAACAAGCAGGCCAAAAGAACAACTGGCAAAAAGTTCAAGGCACTGACTTTATAGCTGCAATAATGCCTGCAAGGGATCGCTGATGGAGTGAGGGGGGGGTTGGGGGGCGACAAGGTGAGCCACACGCCAAAAAACAAAGCGAGGCCGCGCGACAGAGTTCCGGCTATGGGGAGGGTTGTTTGGGAATGCCGCGGGTCACCTAACGTGTTGAGGCACTTTGGCGAGCTAACGAAATGTAACAAAGTTCCGGGGCGCAGTCGGCCGGACCGGCAAACTCTGGTCTATTGTCCGGCACAGTTGGCCGTGTCCGTGTCCGTGTCGCTAACGGGCCTGGTTTGTTATGTGGCTTATGCCGGAAATTTGTATTTAGACCCTTTGTTGTTTTTGCTTTAGCATTTTTTTTTTTTTCTTACGCCTACTGCGGGATTTTGTCGCCGGCCCGTCTGTGCCTGAGGTCTGGGTCAGTTTCGTCATGAGCCAACGTGAGATGCAATATGTTGTGAATTTAACAAAAATTTAATTTAAATTTGAAAGACAGCTTAATGTGGCCAAAGAAACATGTTTTCTATATCTGTCTGTATAGATAGCAATAAGCAAGCCGAATATTTATTTATGGCAAACAGTAGTTTTTTGATGTTTTTTTTTTGCATATTTGTGTATTGTGTTTATAATATTTATATATTTGCTTCATTCATTTATTAAGTTTTTCATAAAAGTGTAATATTTCGATATCCTGCTGAACAATACGTAAGAGTTGGGCTATGTACGCATTTATAGGATTTAGGATTTAAGCAAGGGAAAATGTTATTGACTATTCCAAAAGCACTTCTAAAGCCTGTACAGCTATATAAACTATTTTATTACAATGCTTAATAAGAAAAGCCTTTTTACGAACTGTTAAAGAGTTAAATTTATGAAAAATTGATAAATGATTGATATGATTCTCTCGCTCATTGTCCCCTTGCCATTCCTTGGTCAATTATGATAACTATGGCGATTAAAATTAATGAAAATTATAAAATATGCGGGCCTGGCAGCTAAATGAAATATTCAACTGCCCCGCCTGCCCAGCCCGACCCACGCCTACAGTGCACGACCAAGTCTATTGATGTCACCTGGCCCTGCTGAACCGTCACATCGATGACAATTTAAAATCGCGACGGGGAGCCGCTGCCGTGGTCGGGAATGCGGCACTAAATTACTATGCTCAGCTCATAAAGGTTGGAAAATTTAATTACATGCAACGGGTCCGAAACGTGAAAGGGAAAGGAGGAAAGGCGAAAACTTGCGCTATTCAATGGGCATTTGCTGGGGGACCAGCTAGGCGTTGCCCGGACACGACAAGGCAAAAACAATTGTCGAGGCGTAGCCCGAATGTTTAGACGGGGTAATCATTTCAAAGCGCAAAAACTCTGCTGCGCTGTGGCCCGTGTTGTACTGTCACCTGGAGCCGCCCCCCATGGGCTTTATTATAATTCCTGTACCGTTCCTTTGGGGCTACCCCCGTCTGGACAACAATCGGTGTCAACAATGTGCGGGCAGTTTGATGAACGCCTTGACTTTCACACGCTAATGAGTTTGTTTAAGTAATTTCAATTCATTTGTTAATTTTCAACTATTGTCCCTCTATTGACTCTATTAATGCGGCCAGTGCCTGTCATTCTGTCACTCTGTCACTCTGTCATTCTTTCAATCCAAATGTTTATTTGCCCTCAGTGCCCTCAAAGCTTGCGTGCCCATAAATATCGCAGCATTTGACCATTTGTGTCCTTCTGTCATTGTCCTGGGAGGGAGTTAAGGCCATTAATATACTGCTGCTCTACAAAATTGTGTGTACTGATTAAATGTATCTGTAGATACTCTTTCTTATATATCTTCTTACATTTAGAAAATCATATTAATCAAAAGTAAGAGGTTTTAGTCGGGAGCTCCCGACTAGGGGAAACCCTGAACCCTCTTCTTCCAGCATCAAATGCATATATATATTCTATTTTAGAAGCTATATGTCAAGTTTGGTGACTCTAGTTCTTATTATTTACCAAAATTGCCAAAAAACATGATATCGATATCGATTTTTATCGATTGCTTGGAAACGGAGTAAGTTATCGATTATCGGAAACAAACTCGATCTGCGCGGGAACTGGGAGCACCTACATCTAGTTAATTTCAAGTCTCTAGCTCTTATAGGTTCTGAGATCCTTGCGTTTATACATACGGACGGACGGACGGACAGACAGACGGACATGGCTGTCGATCGACTCGGCTATTGATGCTGATCAAGAATATATATACTTTATGGGGTCGGATATGCTTGCTTCTGCCTTTTACATACATTTGGCTTTCGCACAAATACAATATACACTTATACCCATTTTTAATGGGTTCAGGGTATAAAAATATTAAATAGCACTCAAAATAGAGTCACATACAAATATATTTATCAATATGTAATTTCCACATTCACTATTTTTAAAAGCTCGCAAACCGATCAACGTTTGAATAAACAACTAAATTATTATGCTTAATTAAGTAATCTTATTAAATTAATAATTTACGTAGAAAAATACAGGTGTTTATTGAAAAATGAGACACCTGTATTATTGTTATTGCCACCTCAATTGCCTTGGTCTCAATATGTTGCCTTTGAAATATCCATCAAAAATAGTTCGAATGAACGTATACGATTTATTTTATTCAATCAAGTAAAATTTCAGCATTGAAAAAAATTTCGGTTTTTTAAATAAATTCTTCGTTTTAAACATTTTCCAATGACCGCAGCTCGATACATTCGAAGTTGGTTAAGTCTTTTATTAGTTGGATTACCTGCACGAGGATAGCAAGATGTTAGCGAGATTACGCAAGGGTCTGACTGCGGTTCACTGGAAGAGGCAGCCGAGTCGCTTGTTGAGCGCGATGAACACAATACTTCGCAGGGGTCGGAACAATGGTAAGGTGGGTAGCGACCAGCTGCCCAAGCGGAAACAACAGGTAACATCGCTGAGGAACGAACATTTCGATGTGCTGGTCATCGGCGGCGGCGCCATCGGCTGTGGCTGTGCCCTAGAAGCTACCACACGTGGCTTTAAGACGGCACTGATAGAGGCTGAAGATTTTGCCAGCGGTGCCAGCTGCAAGTCTAGCAAACTAATTGAAGGCAGCAACTCGTATTTGCATGCGGCCATACAGGGCGCTGATCTGCAGCAGATCTTCATGCTGCAGCAGGTGCTGAATGAGCGTGCCACCATGCTGACCATAGCGCCCCATCTGAATCGCGTGCAACCCATGCTGATCCCCATCTACAGCCCGCTGAGACTGCCCCTCTACTGGCTGGGCTTGAAGATGTACGATGCCATGGCGGGCATGTCCAATGTGCGCGGCTCACATTTTCTATCCAAGGAGGCAACGCTCAATGAGTTCCCGCTGCTGCGTAGGAATGGACTGCTAGGCTCCCTGGTCTACTACGATGTGCAGCTGGATGATGCGCGCATGTGCCTGGCCTTGGCCATGACGGCGGCAAAGCATGGCGCTACTGTGGCCAACTATGTGCGATTGCACGAGCTAATGCCACCGACCGGTGACAATGGCTGCCGCACGGTGCGAGTCGAGGATACGGTCAACGACTCGTGCTTTACCATCAACAGCAGGGTCGTCATCAATTCAACGGGCGCAAATACAGATGTGGTTAGACAGTTGGATGACAGCGGTGTCAGCCCCATATCAGTGCCCAAAATGGGCACACATGTTGCACTGCCCAGCTATTATGGCTCCCAGAACTGTGGGCTGCTCTTTCCCAGCGATCAAACCGCGGAACAGGCTCTGATCATGTTGCCCTTTGAAAACAGCATGCTAGTGGGCAGCCTCGATGTGGAACGCCCAGAATCGAGTGAGCAGACACCAACTCCGGCATTCGAAGAGGTGGAATGTCTGCTAGCGCAAACGCGTCGGATGCTCGAGCAGTGCGTGCAGCTGCGTTCGGGCCATGTGATGAGCGCCTGGACGGGCATTAAGCCTTCGATTATGTGTCCATCCGTGGAGAACAAAGAAGATGAGGAGCCAAATACGGTATCCAATTATTTGTTGGAAGTCAGCGGCAACCAGATGATAACCTTGGCTGGCGGACGCTGGAGCACATATCGTGTGATGGCCCTCGATGCGATCAACACGGCCATCGAAATCTGTCAGTTGGAGCCGCACACGGATTCTAGCATCACAAAGAATCTGCTACTGGACGGCGCCAATGATTTCTGTTGCATGCTGCCCCTCGATCTGGTGCAGGCCTACGACTTGCCCATGGATGTGGCCCAGCATCTGGCCGATTCCTATGGCACCAATGCCAGCCACCTGCTAGCGAACAGTTGTCGCAGTGGCCGACAGCGGCTGCACCCAAAGTTTCCCTATATCCAAGCAGAGGTGACATATGCCTGCCAGCGGGAGTACGCCTGCCATCTGGTGGATGTGATCGCCCGACGCCTACGTGTGGCCTTTGTCAATGTGACGGCTGCTGCCGAGATGTTGCCCACCGTACTGGACCTCATGTCTGAAGAGCTCTTCTGGAAGAAGCATAAGAAGGAGCAGGAGTTGAGAGCAGCGCAATATTTTCTAGCTGAGCAAATGGGCCTCGGCAGCATTGTCAAGCAGAAGAAACAGTTCAAATTCCGGGAGAGTAAAGCGCCTGAGCATGAAAGTACCCAAGTTAACCAACAAGAGTACAATCGACAATCACTGAATACGAATTCAGTTCAAGCAGTCCTCAGTTCGGTTCCAAAACAAGCTAGCACCGACATGAAGTCGCGCCTTAGCAGCCAAATGGAGACAAATGCCACATCTGTGGGCTTTAGAGGAATAGCAGCCCCGGTCAGTAGTGAATATTCCCCAATGCGAGTACAAGCGTGCATTCCCGCGCCCCTCAAGAGCGAGACCATCCCTACAAATGATTCAGCTAATCTAGAAACCAAGAGATCTCCATCGAGCACTCCTTCAGATACAGTCGGCGAGTCAGTTCCTGTCAGTACATCCTTGAGCCCTTCCACCTCAATTCAGAAACCAAACGTAGAATGTGTACCTGCAGAAAGCACGCCTACCCCGCTAATAGTCAAGAAGAAGCCTAAGGTCTGCAGCTTCAGTCCCTATGTTATAGCTGGATCGGAACCCAAAGGCCCTGGACCTGGCACAACAATCACTTCAGCAGGATCCGAAGAAGTTAGCGGCTTAACTGAGTCCTCCTCCTCCAACCTGAAAGACACGACCAACAGCATCGAACCAAAAACCAACTACGACTCACAGAGCATGGCTCAATGCCCCGAGCTTGAGCCCCAACAGGAGCAGTCTGGAAACTCTAAGCTTTCTGCCTCAAATGTAACTACCGACACTAACAATGTCGCATCAACAGTCAAGCAAGAAGGCACCGCCCACATTAAAGAGGACAAGGAACGGCCATCTGCAGAATCTGCGACAGTTCCCAAAAAGAGTGTTGTCAACATTGTCAAATCGGAGCTTGTAAATAGTGGCAATAAAGCCGACTGTAGCTACACTAACTCAACGACTGGCAGCGCTACGGCTCTAGAAGGCAGCAGTAAAATTGAGGTCGAGGCGACAGTCCTTGAGGAACGGCCATCTGCCGAATCTGCGGCAATCTCCAAAAACAGTGTTGTCAAATCGGAGCTAACAAACTGTAGCCATAAAGCTGACTGTGGCTACACTACCTCAACGACTGGCAGCGCTTCGGCTCTAGAAGGCACCAGTCAAACTGCCGTCGAGGCGACAGTCCTTGACAATGGTGCTGCAATAGCCGAACCGACTTCTGGCATCTCGAGACTTAGTGTTGAAACGGATTGCATTTCCTCAATGACTGGCACTAGCGCGGCCCCAGAAGGCAGCCATCCAATTACCGACACGGCGACAAATCCTAGAAGCAGTGCTGACAACTATGAACTTGCGAAGCCTGCAGCTTGCATCTCAATTCCTAGCGTTGTGGCGGTAAGTGAGATCAGCACTTCAAATATTGTCAGCGGTACGGCCCCAGAAGATAGCAGTCGTACAACAGATACGGCAGCAATCCTTGAATCCGCAATTGCCAGCCTTGAGGTACTTGAGCAAACCATAATCAAAGCGAATGCCGGCGAAGAGTCGTCAAACACCGTTGAGAGTAGCAGTAGCCCAACTTGTCCTTCAGCTGATCTGCATAAAGAAGATGGAGACAAAGCTGTAGTTGCCAGATCAAGCAACGAAAATGATGTCAAGAAAAATCCCACTGGATCCGATACGGAAACTTAAAGTTGTGACTGTCTCGTATGTAGACTTTTGAAAAATTAATGTTATATCATTTCTGGTATGAAAGCAACAAATTTGCCTGTAAGACTGCGTATTTTAAAATATGATATGAGTGCACTCATACACAGGCACACTAACATCATTTGGTGTTCGGTGATTAAGTGTGCATGTGTGTAGAGTGCGTAAATATGGAAAGATGATCGTGTCGAAGCGCGGCATATAAACAATAATAAAAGACATTAATATATAAAAGAAGCAATTGAATTTTTGATTCATACAAAACGAGTGGGAGGGTGCGCCCATATAAGTAGGGGGGAATGAGGGAGAAAACCGAGTAACAAACCAAATTTCCTAATTTTGCAAATGTACAAACATGTTTTTTGTATAACATATTTAGCTAGATATATTTTATATTCCTTATTATATATTTACATCGTTTAATACCCTGAACCAATTAAAAATGTGTACAAGGGTATATTGTATTTGTGAGAAAGCCAAATGTATGTAACAGACAGAAGTAAGCAACTCCGACCGCATAAAATATATATATTCTTGATCAGCATCAATAGCCGAGTCGATCTCGCCATGTCCATCTGTCTGTCTGTCCGTCCGTCCGTCCGTCCGTCCGTATGTATGAACGCAAGGATCTCAGAACCTACAAGAGTTAGAGACTTGAAATTGTAGCTGTAGATGCTCCTAGTTCCCGCGCAGATCGAGTTTGTTTCCGATAATCGATAACTTACTCCGTTTCCAAGCAATCGATAAAAATCGATATCGATGTCCTGGGCAATTTTGGTAATTTTGACATATAGCTTCTAAAATAGAATATATATATGATTAAGGATTTTTCTTCATGGTTTTCCCTCTAGATTAATCTGGCATTCAAATCTCGACACCGATTTTTTGGTCGAAATTTATGTCCAAATCTTACCCCAAGATTCGTAAATAGATATGGGTAAAAATTTACCACCCCCATAACTCGGCCAATTCCCATTAGATTTCCACGAAAATTGGATTTTTCTTCATGGGTTTCCCTCTAGATTAATCTTGCATTCAAATCTTAACACCGATTTTTTGTCGAAATTCGTGTCCAAATCTTACCCCAAGATTCGTATATAGACATGGGTCAAAATTTACCACCCCCATATCTTGGCCAAATCTCATCCGATTTCCACGAAGTTTGACTTTTTCTTCATGGTTTTCCCTCTAGATTAATCTTGCATTCAAATCTGAACACCGATTTTTTGGTCGAAATTTATGTCCAAATCTTACCCCAAGATTCGTATATAGACATGGGTCAAAAATTACCACCCCCATAACTCGGTGAAATCTCATCCGATTTCCACGAAGTTTGGCTTTTTCTTCATGGTTTTCCCTCTAGATTAATCTGGCATTCAAATATCGACACCGATTTTTTGGTCGAAATTTATGACCGAATCTTACCCCAAGATTCGTATATAGACATGGGTCAAAATTTACCACCCCCATATCTCGGCCAAATCTCATCCGATTTCCACGAAGTTTGGCTTTTTCTTCATGGTTTTCCCTCTAGATTAATCTGGCATTCAAATCTCGACACCGATTTTTTAGTCGAAATTCATGTCCAAATCTTACCTCAAGATTCGTATATAGACATGGGTCAAAATTTACCACCCCCATATCTCGGCCAAATCTCATCCGATTTACACGAAGTTTGAGTTTTTCTTTATGGTTTTCACTTTAGATTAATCTGGCATTCAAATCTCGACACCGATTTTTTAGTCGAAATGCATGTCCAAATCTTACCCCAAGATTCGTATATAGACATGGGTCAAAAATGACCGCACCCATAACTCGGCCAATTCCCATCCGATTTCCACGAAGTTTGGCTTTTTCTTCATGGTTTTCCCTCTAGATTAATCTGGCATTCAAATCTCGACACCGATTTTTTAGTCGAAATTCATGTCCAAATCTTACCCCAAGATTCGTATATAGACATGGGTCAAAATTTACCACCCCCATATCTCGGCCAAATCTCATCCGATTTCCACGAAGTTTGGCTTTTTCTTCATGGTTTTCCCTCTATATTAATCTGGCATTCAAATCTGAACACCGATTTTTTTGTCGAAATTCATGTCCAAATCTTACCCCAAGATTCGTATATAGACATGGGTCAAAATTTACCACCCCCATATCTTGGCCAAATCTCATCCGATTTCCACGAAGTTTGACTTTTTCTTCATGGTTTTTCCTCTAGATTAATCTGGCATTCAAATCTCGACACCGATTTTTTAGTCGAAATTCATGTCCAAATCTTACCCCACGATTCGTATATAGACATGGGTCAAAAAATTACCACCCCCATAACTCGGTCAAATCTCATCCGATTTCCACGAAGTTTGGCTTTTTCTTTATGGTTTTCACTTTAGATTAATCTGGCATTCAAATCTCGACACCGATTTTTTAGTCGAAATGCATGTCCAAATCTTACCCCAAGATTCGTATATAGACATGGGTCAAAATTTACCACCCCCATATCTCGGCCAAATCTCATCCGATTTCCACTAAGTTTGGCTTTTTCTTCATGGTTTTCCCTCTAGATTAATCTTGCATTCAAATCTGAACACCGAGTTTTTGGTCGAAATTTATGTCCAAATCTTACCTCAAGATTCGTATATAGACATGGGTCAAAAATTACCACCCACATAACTCGGCCAAATCTCATCCGATTTCCACGAAGTTTGGCTTTTTCTTCATGGTTTTTCCTCTAGATTAATCTGGCATTCAAATCTGAACACCGATTTTTTGGTCGAAATTGATGTCCAAATCTTACCCCAAGATTCGTATATAGATATGGGTAAAAATTTACCACCCCCATAACTCGGCCAAATCTCATCCGATTTCCACGAAGTTTGGATTTTTCTTCATGATTTTCCCTCTAGATTAATCTGGCATTCAATTCTGAACACCGATTTTTTTGTCGAAATTCATGTCCAAATCTTACCCCAAGATTCGTATATAGACATGGGTCAAAAATTGCCACCCCCATAACTCGGTAAAATCTCATCCGATTTCCACGAAGCTTGGCTTTTTCTTCATGGTTTTCCCTCTAGATTAATCTGGCATTCAAATCTCGACACCGATTTTTTGGTCGAAATATATGTCCGAATCTTACCCCAAGATTCGTATATAGACATGGGTCAAAATTTACCACCCCCATATCTCGGCCAAATCTCATCCGATTTCCACGAAGTTTGGCTTTTTCTTCATGGTTTTCCCTCTAGATTAATCTGGCATTCAAATCTCGACACCGATTTTTTGGTCGAAATATATGTCCGAATCTTACCCCAAGATTCGTATATAGACATGGGTCAAAATTTACCACCCCCATATCTCGGCCAAATCTCATCCGATTTCCACGAAGTTTGGCTTTTTCTTCATGGTTTTCCCTCTAGATTAATCTGGCATTCAAATCTCGACACCGATTTTTTAGTCGAAATGCATGTCCAAATCTTACCCCAAGATTCGTATATAGACATGGGTCAAAATTTACCACTCCCATATCTCGGCCAAATCTCATCCGATTTCCACGAAGTTTCGCTTTTTCTTCATGGTTTTCCCTCTAGATTAATCTGGCATTCAAATCTGAACACCGATTTTTTAGTCGAAATTCATGTCCAAATCTTACCCCAAGATTCGTATATAGACATGGGTCAAAATTTACCACTCCCATATCTCGGCCAAATCTCATCCGATTTACACGAAGTTTGGCTTTTTCTTTATGGTTTTCACTTTAGATTAATCTGGCATTCAAATCTCGACACCGATTTTTTAGTCGAAATGCATGTCCAAATCTTACCCCAAGATTCGTATATAGACATGGGTCAAAAATGACCGCACCCATAACTCGGCCAATTCCCATCCGATTTCCACGAAGCTTGGCTTTTTCTTCATGGTTTTCCCTCTAGATTAATCTGGCATTCAAATCTCGACACCGATTTTTTGGTCGAAATATATGTCCGAATCTTACCCCAAGATTCGTATATAGACATGGGTCAAAAATGACCGCACCCATAACTCGGCCAATTCCCATCCGATTTCCACGAAGTTTGGCTTTTTCTTCATGGTTTTCCCTCTAGATTAATCTGGCATTCAAATCTCGACACCGATTTTTTAGTCGAAATGCATGTCCAAATCTTACCCCAAGATTCGTATATAGACATGGGTCAAAATTTACCACTCCCATATCTCGGCCAAATCTCATCCGATTTCCACGAAGTTTCGCTTTTTCTTCATGGTTTTCCCTCTAGATTAATCTGGCATTCAAATCTGAACACCGATTTTTTAGTCGAAATTCATGTCCAAATCTTACCCCAAGATTCGTATATAGACATGGGTCAAAATTTACCACTCCCATATCTCGGCCAAATCTCATCCGATTTACACGAAGTTTGGCTTTTTCTTTATGGTTTTCACTTTAGATTAATCTGGCATTCAAATCTCGACACCGATTTTTTAGTCGAAATGCATGTCCAAATCTTACCCCAAGATTCGTATATAGACATGGGTCAAAAATGACCGCACCCATAACTCGGCCAATTCCCATCCGATTTCCACGAAGTTTGGCTTTTTCTTCATGGTTTTCCCTCTAGATTAATCTTGCATTCAAATCTGAACACCGATTTTTTGGTCGAAATTTATGTCCAAATCTTACCCCAAGATTCGTATATAGACATGGGTCAAAAATTACTACCCCCATAACTCGGCCAAATCTCATCCGATTTCCACGAAGTTTGGCTTTTTCTTCATGGTTTTCCCTCTAGATTAATCTGGCATTTAAATCTGAACACCGATTTTTTTGTCGAAATTCATGTCCAAATCTTACCCCAAGATTCGTATATAGACATGGGTCAAAATTTACCTCCCCCATATCTCGGCCAAATCTCATCCGATTTCCACGAAGTTTGGCTTTTTCTTCATGGTTTTCCCTCTAGATTAATCTGGCATTCAAATCTCGACACCGATTTTTTAGTCGAAATTCATGTCCAAATCTTACCTCAAGATTCGTATATAGACATGGGTCAAAATTTACCACCCCCATATCTCGGCCAAATCTCATCCGATTTACACGAAGTTTGGCTTTTTCTTTATGGTTTTCACTTTAGATTAATCTGGCATTCAAATCTCGACACCGATTTTTTAGTCGAAATGCATGTCCAAATCTTACCCCAAGATTCGTATATAGACATGGGTCAAAAATGAC